TCCTGCTCCTCTGATGCTGCTTGGCCTGCTGTGTTCATGCAGCTCTACACCTTGTTATCTCAGATTCTCCAGCATCTGCAGCTCCTACTATCTCAGTTCCTTTGAGTGGCTTTGTTACAGATCTTTCAAATTAAAGGATGGTCAAACATGTGAAAGAAATGTAGTCGCCTAAACACAGCTAATTATTTCTTGGAATTCAGTAGATTATCTACAAATGGAAGTATGCCCACCATCCATGTCTTTCAAAAGTATAATTAATAGATTTATAAAGAGTTTGAATCTTACAAATTGTATATTTTTGGAAATGCAGTGTTACCTTTGATAATCCATTGAAACGACAATTTTCCATTCGCTGGCTTATTGTGCCTGTTTGATTTCTGAAAGTGGTATCCAAAGATTTCATAGAATCCATACAGTATGGAAGCAGGCCATTTGGCCCAGAGTCTATACTGCCCCCTCCAGAGCATCCCACCCAGACCCATCTTGCACCCTAACCCTGTAACCCTGCATTTCCCATGGCGAATCTCACCTAGCCTGCACATCCCTGGACACAATGGCCAGTTCAATTAGTTCCAATCTCCTTCAACAAACACCTTTTCCCAAAACATTTGTCCTCTCGCATTTTAATTTTAATGAATTATGTTTTAATTATTGAACAATGGAATATTCTACTAATAATAACTGTTTGAACTGTTAATCACTGTTGAAAAATATATAAGTATTTCCTTTGATCTTTCGATGAGACTCTTAATTTCATACCCTCCAGTTATTAACTGAGTGTCATGGAGAAATTGTTTTTATTACTTTCGAAACTCTTTATAATTTGTTCCATAGCCTGTTGTTTCTGGACTGCAGTTGTCTTTTGAATCAAATGCCAATGCTGTCAAACCATATGACATGACAGAAGGTAACATAAACAGAATTCTAGATTATCTTTTCATAATAATGGTAAGTATGCTGGCATGGTGGCTCAGTGGTTAGTACTGCTACCTTACAGTGCAAGTGACCTGGGTTCAATTCCACCCTCTGGTGACTGTCCGTGTGGAGTTTGCACATTCTCCCCACATATGTGTTGGTTTCTGCTGAGTGCTCTAGTTTCCTCCTACAAGGTGGCCATTAGAAATGCAGGGTTATGCGGGGAGGTGAGACTGGGTGGGATGCTCTTTGGAGAGTTGGTGTGGACTTGTTGGGCCAAATGGCCTGTTTTCACTCTGTATGGATTCTACTCTACTTTGTGTTTTTGAGAAATAATTCACATCAAAAGAAAGGATTGTGCTGATCTAGATGTTCTCATAGTCCTGCATGAATTTCCCAGTAGGGCTTTATAATTCAGTTTGAATTTCTCTGTGTTCAGTGGTATACCACAGGGCTCAGTGCTTGGTCCCTTGCTGATTGTTGTGTACATTAATGATCTCAACATGAATGTAGGAGGTATGATCAGTAGGTTTGCAGATACCATGAGAATTGGTAGTGTAAATAGCAAGGAGGAAAGCCTTATAGTACAGGACAGTAATAGCTGAGCTGGAGAGATTGGCTGAATATATATATGGCAAATATAATTCAATCCTGAAAAGTGTGAAGTGATGGATTTTGGCAGGATATCAAGGCAAGAGGGTACACATTGAATAGTAGCATCCTATGAAGTAGAGGATCAGAGGGATCTTGGTGTACATTACCATAGATCCTTGAATGTAGCAGGATAGGTAGATAAAATGGTTAAGAAGCATGTGGGATACTTTTGATAGGCTACACTAAGGGAAGGATTTGACTGCATCAAAGATTGACCAAGATGTTGCCTGGACTAGAGCAATTCAGCTATGAAGAGAGGGTAGAGAGACTGAGGTTGTTTTCCTGAGAAGGCTGAAGGGGGATCTGATTGAGATGTGCAAAGTTCTGAAGGGCTTGGAGCGGATAGATATAGAGAAACATTTCTCCTTAGTGAAGTTATCAATAATCAGGGGCACAGTTTTAAAGCAAGGAACAGAAGGCTTAGAGGGAGTTTGAGGGAAAAAGAATCATCCAGAGTTTTGTGGTTATTTAGAACTCGTTGTCTGAAAGGGTGATTGAGGCAGGAACCTCAGGACGTTTAAGAACGATTTAGATTAGCACTTGAAAATCCTTAGCATAGAAGGTTATGGACCAAGTACTGGAAAATGAGATCAGAATACATAGAGGAGTAAATTACTGCAGATGCTGGAATCTGAACCGAACAAAAAAAAAATGCTGGAAATCACAGCAGGTCAGGCAGCAATCTAACGTTTCGAGATAGCACCGTGTGGACCTTGAAGAACACCGCAGGCCAGGCAGAATCAGGGGAGCAGGAAAATTGACGTTTCGGTTCGGGATCCTTCTCTTGAAAGGGCGACTTCCCTGATTCTGCCTAGCCTGCTGTGTTCCTCCAGCTCCACACTGTGTTATCTCTGACTCCAGCATCTACAGTTCTTGCTATCTCTGAGTAAGCTAACGTTTCGAGTCTAGATAACTCTTCATCACAGCTGATGGACGTTTGATGACAGGTGTGGGCACGATGGGGGCAAAAGGCCTCTTTCCGCGCTGTAACAACTCTGACTCTGCTCCATAATTCATCGCACCCCAGAGCATTTTCTCCCAAAATGTTGCTCAAATCATTTCAGTCTGGCTTCTGCTCTTTTTTAAAAAGAAAATACAAAACATTCATCAGGTAAGACAAGCCTAGAGGGGCACAGTCTGGCTTCTATGCTGTTCTCAGTGTTAGGGATACCCCAGCAAAAATGACTGAATGAGATCCTCCTCATACTCCTGCTCCACATGAATCTTGTTTTCCGGTATCCCATAGCGGTGCGCGTCCCTAGTCATTCGCCATCGCCGCGCAGTCCTTCATGGGCGGTGGATTTGAAAGTCGGAGTTCGTTACTAAGGCAGCGGTCTTTGTAAACAAAGGGACTGAACCAATCGCGTCTGCCTTCGCGCTGTTGGTCCTCCTGTATCCCAGAGTGCCACGCTGGTCATCTTACCGCTGGCGCTGGTGCTAGGAGCGGGATTGAATCGAACGGAGTGGTTTGTGGTGGGAAGCGGTTCCAGTTACTGTAAATACCATGTGTAGGAAAGTACCGGGAAAACAATGAAAACCAAAAAAACTAAAGCGGTGAAACTCGGAAAGAAAAGCAAAGGTAAAAAGGGCGCGTTTCCCCTCCTGTTTGAAATAGTGAAATTTGTCCGTTGTTTGTTTAGGCCGCCTTGTTAACAAATGGACATCAATAAAGATGTGGAAATTACCTCAGGCGCAACTGAAATCCTGAACTGTAGATCTGAAAACATGTGACGTGACACTTAGGTTCGTTCTTTGAAATAAAAATAGAAAATGCTGGTCCAAAAATACAGTGATAATTGTTGACTGTTTAACTCTGCTGATGCTGCGGGATCAATTGCGCTTTTCCGTTTTTATTTATGGTTTCCGTCTAGCACAGTACTTTGCATTCATTAGCTTAGTTTATCAGTTATGGTTTACTAATCCCAGGCTGTCACCTCCATTCGAACTGCTGCATCCTGAAGCACATAACTTCAGTCTGATTGACACCTTTTCGTGAGAGCACCACAAAATGATCAATTTGAGTGTAACTTCAGAGATTTCCGATATATATCGGTAACATTGGGAGGAGATCATTTGGGACATAAGGTTTGCGTCAGCTTCGAAGAACTATCTCGTTAATTTCTCTCCCTACCTCTTGCCGCATAACCCTTTCCCCCCATCTTTAAGTATTTATTTAATTATTTGAACGCCATTCTTGAATGTCAGTCACCCTTCAAGCAGTGCACTCAGAAGCTAAATAGTTGCTCCGTAAGCAAGTTTTCCCTTAGGTCATCCCTGATTCTTTTACCAATCGCATTTATTTTGAAATGGTCAACTGTCAGCTATTAGAAACAGTTTCTTCGGCTGTATCAACATCCTTCATGATTTTAAGCTCTATCACACCTCCTCCTGGCCTTTTCTGCTGGAAGGAGAGGAACCCAATTTCTTCAGTTTCTTCATGTAGCTAATCTATCATTCCTGAAACTATTTTAATTAACAACTTCTGGAGGATTTCTAAACCAGTGATGCTGTTCCCTAGAGCTGCACAACACTGTGGCTGAGATTGAACTGGTGTGCTACACAGCAAAGCTTCCTTTTTGCTATGCTCTATTGGAAATACTTTTTGAATTTCCTATGTGAATCTGTGTTGCCATCTTCAAAATTTTGTGTGTCAACAATTAGGCTTCTCTGTTGTTATATCCTGTAAATTTGTGCCATTTAGCAAACATTGTCTCTCTCTATGTGTATCAAAAAGAGAAAACTTATTAAATTTTATTTAAAACTTGTTGAATCTTGGTTGGTACTGCATCATACCCAAAGTGATGAGCAGAAAGGTGGAAAAATAGCCCTTCTTTGAAGACTTAAGCATTTCTTTAGTATTATGTCAAGGTCGATTATACCATTGTTTTAATGTTATATGATCCTCTCCTCAAACACCTCCAACCACAATGGCAGGTTTGCAACAATCAGTATTCTGTGACATTTAGCTCAGAACACCTTCAATAACTAAAACTTCAAGTTTGGAAAGCTAAGACTTATTCTTGTATTATTGTTTTTCTGTTGGATATGTTTAAGTTGCGGACTAAGTTAAGGAATATTAAGCATTTAAATTTTTATTTGCATATTCAACATATAGGTGATGTTTAGATTCCAGGTAGTAACAGTATAAATTGTTTTAAATAATCATGATCCTTAAAGTAATTGTAATTTTACTTTTGTTTGTTTCACGTTACAGGAATTAGTGATGTCTTGCCATCTACTAGTCTGCCACCACTTGTTGAAGGCCAGGTTCAATATTTTCTAAGGGTAACAGTTAGTAAAATCTTGTGGATCATTCCCAGGCCTCCAGCCGCCCCACTTGTTAGACTGCACTGGTGGGGTGAAACCTCCTGTGGTACCCTGTTTCGACCTGGAGATGTTTCACATGCTGAACGGAAATCTTTGAAAACGACTGCACGATATGCTGTTCGTTGTGGATTAAAACAATTCACCTCTTATCTCACAGGTTGGTTGCATTGATCATACTTCAGACTTGAGTTTTCATTAATATTTGTCATTGTTAGGATCTGCAATGAGATTGCCAAATTTATGTCAATCTGGTTAAGGGCCAGTGATATTTCTGTAAAATAGTCAAAGTCTTAAACCCCCCAGGCACTCATTAACAGAGTAAAGCCACAAGATTCCATGGGTTTGAACAAACAAGAATAAATTTTGCTATATTAAGTTAGAACAGTAAAACAAATAAACAACTTATACCATAACAATCGGAATTACCATGAAGTAAGCATGGATAACTGTATTGCAACAACCCAGAAATATAGCTGTTATAAAGTGGAGGTCAACTGCCCTCAGATAACTAAACTGAAACACCCAGGGAGGCTCGCCTCATCTTGCCCTATAATCTGTTAAGGGAAGTGTGAAACGTAGTTTCACCTGCCTGTCACCCTCAAGCTGTTATAAAGGAGTGGTTAAATGAAATGATCTCCTTTCACTCACTCTATAATCAGCAAGTAACAGCTTATTTATCTAACTCTAACAGTGAACAAATTAACTGAACCATTAACAAAACAAACGATTCCCCCTTAACTACTAACTATTCCCGAGTAAAACAAAATTCAAATGGTATGCTGTTCTAATAAATACAAGTCCCACTTATATAAACCAAAATAATTTAAAAAAAACTTAGTCTTTTGAAATTATAGCTGGATATACCTTCCGGAATGTTCTATGCTTTCTCCGCTGATCTTCAGGTGGGAAAGCCTTTCTCCATCAAATTCTTGTGTCAGGAATATTAGCTACGAGTGCCACTGCACCTTCAGTTAAATGGTGGTTACTTTGAGAGCTTAGAGAATTCTGTGAGAACTAGTGGTTTTTCTCTTTAGAGCTGGATGTTAACTCTATCAGATGGCAATTGCTCTCACACCAATTGTGAAATGCCCTCCTTTATACCCTTGAAGACATATCAATTTCCTACAATATGATTGGACCTATAGACCACTACACACTGCAGCACAGCTGCTCTGCAGAAGGAAGAAGAAGAACTCCTCTACAAGGTCTTGACCAGGAATGGTTACCCCCACAGCTTCATCCACGGATGCCTAACCAACAGACAACACACAACCAGGACACACCAAAACCCAAAACAATAACCACCAAAGCATATATAAAAACACTTCAGAACTGACAGCTAGACTACTCAGACCGCTAGGAATCCTGACAGCACAGAAACCGGCAGCCACACTTAGACTGCAACTGACCAGGGTTAAAGACCCAATAGATACCATCGATAGGACGAATGTCGTTTACAAGATACCATGTGGAGACTGCACAGAACACTACATAGGACAAACAGGCAGACAACTAGCAACCTGCATCCACGAACACCAGCTAGCAACTAAACGACACGACCAGATGACCTTGGTTTCAATACGCATAGATGAGAAAAACCACACTTTCAACTGGGACAACACCACTGTCATAGGACAAGCCGAACAGAGGACAGCCAGGGAATTCTTGGAGGCTTGGCATTCATCCGCAGACTGTATCAACAAACACTGAATTAGACCCAATATACCAACCCTTACAACACCCAACTGGAACCGGCACCTGCCGGAAGCAGCAAAAACCAGACCATATAAATTCGAACCAGCACAAGACAACAGCACTTCACAGGAGGCTCCACAGCACCAAGGATGTCACCGAGTAAGGGGACGAAACATCTGCTATCAAACCTCCCAGCTGGGTAAACACACCAACATCTACACCAGCGCCCGAGCTACAAATCTTCACTCAACCCTGATTGGTCCTGTGTTGCCAAAACCACCAGATTTAAATTTAATCGGTTTATAAGTCTCTAAGTGCCTGGTTTAAATTAGTTGGCTGATAATTAAGCAGGTTGCCTTGCTAACAAAACAAAACTGCAGCCTAAATTGCCATCCGTACAGACTTTGATACAAATGTTTCAATTTCAGGAGCTCTCTGTGAACCTGCAACCCACAAGCTGTCCGCAGACATTGTTTTGTAATCTCTAAGCACAGAAAAAACACATCATCTTTTAAAGGGACCACACACTGTTACCCCCTATCAAATTCTAACGTCCTGCCTTCCAATCCACAAATACTCTACCCAACTTTGCAACAATAGCAAATATGGTCAAGACAGTACCCACAATTGTCTCCAATCTACTTCTCCTCTCGACCCCACCCCTTTGACATGAATGTCTCTGAGCAATCCCAATTTAGTAAATCTTTATGCAGAGTTTCAATTTTTCACTTTGAAGACCTGGTTTCAGAACACCCTCAAACATGGCTCCATGAGGAGCTGCCTGAATGACTCCTTGTCCTAGTTGCTCACCTTCCTTTCTTGGGACTGTGTCCCCTCTGGATTCTTGAGGCTGCACTCCAGTATATACACTGACACAATTTAAGCTGTTCAGCAGACTGAAATTTTAGCTTTTCAACTGGTACTGACCTGGCTTCCTTCAATATCCAGTATTCATCAGCCGCACCAAGCAACTACCAAGCCAAAACAAATAATGAAGATTTCTGATGAAGACTCACCAAACTCAAAACATTAACTCAGCTTTCTTCCCACAAATACTGCCAGACTTGCTGAGTTTCACCAGCAATTTCTGCTTTTGTTTCCGATCTCTGTCATCCGCAGTTCTTTGCTTTATTAAATATTAAGCTGATGTGGACTTCTTTCACCCCCAACTCTTGGTTACACTGAAATACTAATGGCTCACATGTTTCCTCTGAGTCCCCATGGCTCCACATAACTCCCAGAACTTCTGAGCCCAAACTGCTCAAAGCCTGCTACAGCAGCACCCTTCTTTCATTTGGAGCCTCTTCTCCCTGCTGCTGATGACCTTTGTCATTAACCTGTCAGGTAGTTTATCTTTCTTGGCCATCCTAGATCTGGTTTTCACAGCACCCCTAATCCCATGGTCTCTTTTTCATGCTCACAATTCTCCAGGTACACCCTTGGTGAATCCAATAGCTGGGCCCTTTGAATGTTGGAAGAAATGCACAGTGTGGGCAGCCTGTCTTGTTGCTGCTCTGAGCATGCGCGTAACACTGAGTCTCACTGGGGCCTGAAACTAGGGAAATTTGGGTTTTGTGACACCCTGCAGGACCTTGACTGTTATAATAAGAGCAATATGTGTATTCCCTGCCAAATGAAAATAATGTGCAGTCAAATGAGGGGGGGCTGTGACAGTGGTAATGCCACTGGGGCTAGTAACCTCAGAACCCAGCATTTGTTCTTGGGAGGTGGGTTTGAATGAAAAATGAAATTTGAATTTAATAAAAATCTGAAATTAAAAGCTAGCCAAATGGAGATCATGGAACTGTCATTGTTGTATGAGCCCATCTGATTCATTAATGTTCTTTAGAGAAGGGAACCTGCCATCCTTGCTTGTTCTAGCCTGCAAGTGACTTCAGACCCACTGTAATGTGCTCGAAATGCCCTCTGAAATGGCTTATCAAGCTACACTAGTTCAAGGGTAATTAGGGATGGGCAATAAATCTTGGCTCAGCTGGTTTTTCCCACATTATGAAAGGATTTTAAAGAAAGTTTAAGGAACAAATAAAATTGAATTATACACCAGATCAAATTATGGTAACAGTTGTATTTAAATGTCAGGACACAAATTAGGAAGGAAGCCAAACAGAACTTTCACGCAAAGGATAACTGAATTGTGAAACCAAGCCATTGAGGTAGACAGAAGAAATGGGTTGAAAAAATAATTTAATGAATTTCTGGGGAGAGAAAGAATTGAAACAAATGAAGACCATTTAATGAGTGGACTTGATCTGTAATAAAGAGGTAGATTTGTTTGAGCCAAAAGCTCGCTTTCTATTCTTAAAATGTGTTATGTTCTAATTGAATCTGCGGTGATTAATTAAGACCTTCAGACTGTTGCAGCATTTTAGCAAAGACCTCTCAATATCTTGCTTAGAAATTACAGCACAAAACTGTTCCTCAGGCACACCATGTCTTTCTCACAATAATGGACAAGAAGTCTACTGCATGCCTTATTTGGACAGAACTAACAAGAGTCATAACATGCCCAGCTTTATAAGCTTTTTACATGCTCTTAGAAGCCTAATGTCTACTTTGGTTTTGTGGTGCAATATTAGTATGCCCTGAGGTTATCTAATTGCATTCAGGGAACCAATTCTATAAATCACGTGCAAAGAGAGTTAAATTTCTTGCCTTTAAAACATGGTCCTGATCACTGCTGGCTTTGAGTACCCTGTCCTGCAAGCACAGACCTGGTCTCTGATCTCTCAATGGTCATGTCTCCAGGCTACCCAACTCCATCCTCCATTTAATCCCTCCTTTCCCTTCCTTCCCCAAATCTAAAACCTGTGCTCCTTAGTGCTGCAACAACGTTAACAGTGGCCTGATTTTTGTTTCACCCTTCCAGCTCTTCTATTGCAATAATATTCTCATGGGAATGAGTTTAAGACCCGGTATCGGACACTTGGCTCACTCTATTCCGGTGCAAAATTGGATGCACCCACCCATTGCAGGCACTACACTTTAGATAATGACAATTACATTTTGATTATATTTGACTTCAAAATCTTAAAGTACAAGTGAAGTGTCTTTGACCAATATTTGAAAGTCTGTGGTTGTTTGCATTATGACATGAAGATTCCATGTTTATTGGATAAATGATTACATCCAAAGTAGTACAAGCTTCCCTTTTGATAACGTATTATTTTTAAAGAACAAGGAAGATTAATAAGCTTCTTTTGTGATTAAAGAATTAAGGTGACCCAGCAATTATATGGAAAGATAATTTGTTCGGAAAGACACAAGCATATAAATCATTTCATTTGTAAGATTTATAGAGATCAATAGACAGCTTCTGCACAGTTCAAATTCTGATATCATAGACTAAAGAAAATGCAGAACCTGTTTATTACCAACAATGCTAAGGCAAAGACTTTGCATTTTAGTAAGACTTAGTAAGTAATTACATTTACAGCATAGTTATGTATCAATACTCCTGAATTCTGCTCAATTGAATTGTAAATCACTTGTACTAAAATTAACTTGAAATAAATTATGAATCAGAGATATTGTTACATCTTATTTAGAATTGACTGATATGAAAAATCAAATTTTCTGTTAAGTTAGCTTTTAAAAATGCTTTAAAGTTTCATTTCCGGTCACTTAGGTAAGAATGATGTATTCTGTAAGCTGATTAATTATTTTTGAAATAGACACAAAGATGGAAATTATAGTCAATAATATCTCAATGCAGCTTGCATGTCATAATTTTAACATGCTAATTCAGTAATATTTTATCCTGTGTAATCACTTGTATGAATGCCTGTAACCCTAGTTTATTGAATCTGTAGAATCCCTACAGTATGAAAATAGGCCATTTGGCCCCACAAGTCCACACCGGCTCTCTGAAGAGCATCCCACACAGACTCACCTACCCTATCCCTGTAACCTTGCATTTCCCATGGCTAATCCATCTAGCCTACATATCCTAGGACACTGTTGGGCAATTTAGCATGGCCAATCCACCTAACCTGTACATCTTTGGGTGCTCCGGTTTCCTCCCACAGTCCAGAGAAAACCCATGCAGGCACGTGGAGAATGTGCAAACTCCACACAGACAGTAGTCCAAAGGTGGAATTGAACCTGGGTTCCTGGCTGAGTGAGGCAGCAGTGCTAACTACTGAGCCACTGTGCTGCCCTGGCAGTCCTTCATTTCTCCTGGCAAAGCCTCACAGTTCAGCTGATTCTTTAATAGGGTCCTGTAATAGGAAGCTTAATTTTTCTCCCACTTATCAGCATCCTATAACTTACATGCCCTTTTAAACAAAATAATGACATCACTTAAAGATTTAATGATGGAAAATGTCTTATTTTTTTCAGGTATCTTTGAGTTATTTTTCCAGTAGAAATGCTGCTGTATGCTTGTATTGTATTTACTTGCTTTTTTTTTTAAAACTGTCCTTTTTAATTTGGTAGATATGGGAATATTGGTATTGGAGGTGATGGAAAAACCTGACCATCTTCCTATTGGCCGAGTTGAAATTAATGGAATACCACAGCTTTCAACAACCCATGGGATTAGTGGGTTCTTCAAAATGCTTTCACCCACCTCTGAGAAACTTGGAGAAGTACAGGTTAGAAATATTATGTTCGCTGGTATTTTTATGTTAAATGTGATCTGATCAAATTTTATCTTTTGGGGCTTGGGTAGAGTAGGCCTAAATGAATCATGTCGTCAGGTAATTTTATTTGTTTAAAAATGTTTATAAACCAATGTAGCAATTCATAAGGTGTGAAATTGAATTGTATTTTGCAGAGTTTTTCTGCTGTTTGTCTCTTTTACATGAAGAGATACGAATTTTAGCCTTGTAACTATAAGGGTGTGCGGTATTGTGTTTTGGTTTCAATCATTCTCCTCTGAGAGATATGTCTCTGGATCCAGGCTGTGCAGCATGGAGTTTCAGCACATACTGGAGGCTGACAGTTCAGTAGTACTTGTTCAGTGCTGCATAGTGGGAGCTTTTGTCTAAGATGAAATATGAAAGCAAGTCAGATTCTGTCTGTTGATAAATGTGTGGCACTTTGAACAGGCAGTTCTGGTTCCCGTCCAATTTTCATCCCTCAGTCAACATTACCAGAAACAAATTAATGTGTCCATTTTCACCTCTGAATGTGGACTGGTTGCAGCTTTTGCCTCCAGAACAACAGCAACTGCACTTCAAAAAAATGTTGAGTTCATACAAAGTACTTCAAAAAGATGATTTGGGTGAGTTATGTGAAAGAAGGCTGTGGGTGTGGGACAAAGGCAAATCATTAAAAATTCTTACATTTGCATTACATTTGATTAAAGAAAACAACCTTTTGTTGTTAAAATGAAATATTACCATTAGTGGCTTTATTAGCTCACCATCTTGAAGTATGCAGTTCAGTTCTCCATGTTTCCTCTATGCTGTGTATAATTTACCTTGGTTTATATTAGTATTTTAAAGGGATAGTATTTTCTTTGGAAAGAAGGGATAACAATAAAGAGTATCTGTACATCTTTAGGTACTCTGATATTAACGATATTTAGTGACCAGGCTTGGAAAATGGAACTGATTGTTTTAATTCCACCTATATAGAATATTTACAATGTTGAACTGTAAATTGGAATACTTACGTTTGAATCTAAGTACAGGTTGCAGTTTCATTGCAAATTATCTGAATAAAATTAAAATTCTACCACTGCCTCCTTCACTTGGCCATTCCCCATTTCACTGTCATTCAGCATTACTGTTGTACAGTTGTGGAGCAGAATTGTTATCCACTGTGACCTCATCAGCTTACTCATCCCTCTGAATACTATCATAGAGCCGTAGAGTCATAGATTCATACAGCATGGAAACAGACCCTTTGGTCCAACCAGTCCATGCCGAACATAATCCCGAAGTAAACTAGTCCCATCTGCCTACTACTAGTCCATATCTCTCCAAACCTTTCCTATTCACTTACTTAGTTAAATGTCATTTAAACATTGTAATTATACCCACACCCACCACCCTCTCGTGTCTTTTTTAAATCTGTCTCCTCTCACCTTAAAAATGTGCCCCCTATTCTTGAAATCCCCGATCCTAGGAAAAAGACAACTGCCATGCTATTTATACCTGTCATTATTTTATAAATTTCTATAAGGTCATGATGAAGGCAGGGAACAAAAGGATACAAGAGATCATTGACAGTCTCTTAAGCAGCAATTACTTGCTAATAACTTGTTCAGTTTAGACCCTGAGAGCATCACTTGGCTCCAGACCTCATTACAACCTTGGTCCAAAGATGGACAAAGGAGCTGAATTCCTTTTAGGATTGCTGTTACTAAGCAATGTACATTAATTTGTTTCGAAGGTAGTTATAATACAAGAAAAACTATTCAGGTTTTGCAGTGTGTCATGTAAACTCATAATTATTGGAATGTGGTATCAAACATAAAAACATAAAATGTGATTAGTGCTGAGTATGATTCACAGATTTGTTTATAGGTATAATAGAAGGAACTACTTCAGCCGGTCATTGGAGAAGTATGATCTATTAAGTTTGTGCAGTACTAGATGATATGCCTTAATTTCATTCATCTTAAAATGTTTAACACAATGTGCCAACAAATTGTGTTGCACTATTCTTGCTGATTATTCAAATTAACCTCTGTAATTGCTATAAATTTTAGGTGTCACTTGCTCTGGAACCTCTGTCAGACATTTGCGACAGCAGCAGCAGTTCTGTGCCAAACACAGACACGAGTATGGATGGTGCAGTTTCTGTCCAAAGCTCTGCGGTATTGCATAGTTCAAAGGCAGGATCTTTTGAAAATCTCGTTGAACTTCCTCCTCACAAATCATCCATAACTGTTGCAAGTAGAAAAGAGTTGCTGCAAAGTAGCACCTGTAATACCCCAAGGTAAATGGCAGTTAAATAAATTTTGATCCTGTGTTGTCAAATATATTTGCCAGTGGTCTCGTTGGGTGGATGAAATGCCCTCCCAAATTCCAAATTTGGTGGTAGTGGGGGAATTTAATCAGGCAGGTTAATGACTGGTGGAGAATCCAGTGCCTTCCTGGCTTTGCCCTTATTAAGGATAGAACATGAAGGCTCATTTCAGGCTATTCCAAGATATGCAAGTGGACAATTCAGAGGGATATTCAAAAGCTTCATCAGAGGATAATTGGAGGGTTTTACAGAGGAACAGGGGTGGCAAAACCGAAGGGCTTAGGAAAGACAACTGAAGGAACACTTACAATGTTGTGGCAAAAGGAGATGTAGAAATGTTCAGAAAGTTTAAAATGATAGGGTGGGACTGAACTATGATGAGATTACAGAGAAAGGAATTTTAACTTGATAATCTGGAAGTCCATATGGATCAGGCAAAGCTGAGGTTAGTGAGCAGAACTTGATGAGCAATAAGGAGTTTTGGATGAGTGGTAGATGTCAGTAGGAATCATCAAAAAGGATTCAATGGATCACCACTGGGCTTTAAGCACATAGTCAGGGATCTAAGACCTGAATTGACCTACTTGTCTTGATCTTGCTAATGACCTGTCGCAGTTGAATCTAGGCCACTTCTAGAATACTGTGTGCCATTCTGGTCTCCCTGCTATAGGAAGGATGTTGTGAAACTTGAAAGGGTTTGGAAAAGATTTACAAGAATTTTGCCACAGTTGGAGGGCTTGAGTTATAGGGAGAGGCTGAATAGGCGGGTGGTATTTTCCCTGGAGCATCGGAGGCTGAGGGGTGACCTTATAGGAGTTTATAAAATCATGAGGGGCATGGATAGGGTAAATAGACAAGATCTTTTCCCCAGGGTGGGGGAGTCCCAAACTAGAGAGCATAAGTTTAAGGTGAGAGGGCAAAGATTTAAAAGGGACCTAACGGGCAACTTTTTCACACAGAGGGTGGTGTGTGTATGGAATGAGCTGCCAGAGGAGGTGGTTGAGGCTGGTACAATTACAGCATTTAATAGCCATCTGGATGGGTTAATGAATAGGAGGGGTTAGAGGGATATGGGCTAAATGCTGGCAAATGCGACTAGACTTATTTAGGATATCTGGTTGTCATGGATGGGTTGGACCGAAGAGTCTGTTTCCATGCTGTACGTCACTATAACTGTATGACTCTAAGTGATCACTGAAAAGTCGTTGTGGAAATCAAATCCTATATTTATTCATATTAAAAATCATTCTCTGCACAGGTCACTTCCTGTTTCTAGGGCTTAGTTTTTAGTAGTGCTTTATTTCTAGTTTCCTTGCTTTCTTAGCCTTTAGAAGAGTGAGTGGTAATCTTTTGTAATATGTAAGATCATACAGGGCCTGGATAGCATGGATACCTGGGGAATGTTTCTTCTTGTGGGGGAGACTGGGGGCATAGCTTAAGAATAAGAAGCCTATGTGTCAGTAGTGTGAAGAGTAGAATTTTTTTTATCTCAGAGTGTCATTAGAGTGTAGAAATTGCTTCCCTAGAAGGTAGTGTAGTCTGGGTCTTTAAGCTAAGTTTGATAGATTTTTGATAGAAAAGGGAGTCTAGGATTATGGGTGCAAACAGGAAAATGGAGGTGAAACCACAACTAGAAGAACCATGAGCTCATTGAATGATAAAGCTGCTTCCAAAGGGCCATACGGCCTACTCCTGCTTCAAGGCCTAATGTTTCTCTTCTGCTAATATATCCCAAGCTTTGAACGTTTTCCATTTCTGATTGCAACCAATATTTTCTGTCAGTAACTTTCCATCATATTTAAAGCAAGGCCTTTATACATGATGAAACTGGCAACTGTTCTGCTTCTTGAATCTTGTAAGTCTATCGGTCATCTTCTTAAACAAGACTGACTGTGGTCTCCCTCCATTTGGTGGCATGAGAATTTGCCAGTTATTATCCCCCTAAGATGGCTTCTAGATCCCCCCAGATCACAGCACACCCTGCGTCTGCCTTTACTATTCTCTACTCTATGACCATTTCTGACTCAGGGGTCTTCTACTATACTCCCAGCTGCTGGTGGACCTCAATGCTTCTGGGTCTGGTTTTACTTTGTGAACTTGTCAACCAACCTCAGTCATAAAGCTGTTTACACTGTTTAGTGTATCACTAATGCATATAGACCATAACATCACAGTTTGAGTTCTCAAAATCTGTTGGGATAGATGATTTCAATCAGGACAAAATTAGGGGTGTGTTGTGATGCCCAAGATCGCCAAGATTTGGGCGGAATATGTACATGAAAGTCAAACAAAAACTATGAGTTGTACAGAAAGCAAGGATGGTAGAATCTGGTTGAAACAGGGAAAGAGAAAAATAGTCAGTGAACATATGAAATAGGAGCAAGAGTGGGCAATTGAACCCCTCAAAGCTGCCCTGCCATTCAACAAGATTAAGGCTAATCTGACCCAGGGCCTCAACTGCTCTTTTGTGCCAGCTTAGCTCCCTGATGTTTCAAAAACCTATCTACCCCTCTTTAAATTGAAACATCTAAAAGCTTCAAATGGAGAAATTGGAAGATGTAGAAACATGATGTTAGAGTTTAGGAAAGAAACTAACAGCTTACAGGAAGGGCAAAATAAATTTTGTTTGTGGGAGATAAATTGTTCATCACAGTGCAATTTCTTTATTAAACAGGAATAAGTAAAATTACAAACTGTATTTCTAGAATGCAATTAATTTGAATTATCCAAACCTATTAGAAAGAGATTAATTTTCAATGACAAAAATATATAATTTTCTATTTGTGTTTTCTTTTTAGAGGAAGAGACCATGTGTATTTCCAGGAAAATGCCAAAATTACTCAGACTGTTTCATCTGAAAATAAGCAGTCCCTGAGTTCAGCCTCTATTGCTCCTGCTGAGGCATTTGAGGCTGGTAACAAGCAGACTGCAGCACGAGTATTGCTAACAGATAACCAATCCTCCAAAAACCTTATTTCAGGTATGTAGGTAACTTAGCAGCACTCTAAAGAAAAAGCAGAGCATGCTACAAATACTCAGCATGCCAGAGATAGTTAATGATTCGGATTTAAATCAATGGTAGAGGTTTGAGATTGTTGCAGGCAGTCTGTCCCCTTTGTATTTATCCCAGCAAATAGGATGGCATCAGCCTGCCCACCAGCCAGCAGATTAGTGAGGAGCCTCATTCCACCGGTCATGGGAGAAGCCCATGACAAGCAGCCAACAGAGGAGGTTTCTTTGTGCAGTATATTGGCAGGCATGAGGTGTGGGAGCCCTCCTGGCCTGGCCATTTGGGTTCATCGGAGTGTGTGTATTCTCTCCTGAACTGTCCCCCACAAGGGTTCTCTCCCATCCTGCAACCTTCAGCCCCTGACTCCCTCATAAGAACCTGCCAACTTGACATTTTGTGAGCCTCCAAAAACATCACTAAATCATCCAGCATTTCTGGCTGGCAGCTCTGCAAGGCTGCCATGTTCCCTTTAGCAGACTCACCTGACATTTTTAGCGTGGTTGTGGAATTGGGCACACTGTATAATTCAGCCCATTCTTTCAGGTCTGCAACCCTTTCACTACTGAAAAGCCATAGATCTGAACTGTTAATTCTGTTTCCCTCCACGGAGTGGGCCAGATCTGCTGAGTATTTCCAGCGTTTTGTTTACTGCAAATTTGAAGCACCTGCAGTATTTTGCAAAGAATTACTTAGCTTGGGATATTTGAATCTAGAGATGCTGAAGAACCTGGGATTGATTGCTTCAAAGGAGAATATTCAGGGAAGATATTATTTTTAAGAAGAACAGGATTCTTAATGGCACAGATAAATTGTGAAAACTCTAGAACACAGGGCTGGAACATTCGGCAGGGTTTGCATTTTTGTGTTTTTATTATGATAGTCGATATTTTCTTGATCATTTCAGCTTCTCATTAACCAATATTTCATTTACTCCCATGTAATGATGTGATATTCAGTGCAAAATTGCCATATATAGTAGGTATATTATATTTTTGAAATTGCTGCTGAATGATGCCCCAGACCAATTATCTTGCCCTGATAATGATGTACAGAACTGCCCTATCTATAAACCTGTTTGTTTCATCAGTCAGGATGAAATATTAGTTGAATTTTAATACCTGTGTTGGTCCAGGATTTTCTGAACTCGCTGTATTCCCTGTTAGACTACTTCTCTCACTTGCAGCCCAAAAATCATTTGCAACTCCAATTGCTGGAAGCTTAAATTGATAATGATGTAGTAAGGGCATATGGTTCTCTGTAACTTTTGGTGAGCAGTGGGACTAATAATCTATCACCTTAATGTGAATTAGAATAAAGAAACGAGAACAACAGTGGAAGCAATAAGAGCATGTCCAGGTCATATCAAATGCAGAAAGTGAATTCTGGGGAAGAAAGAAAATGAGAGGATACAAGGGCTAATAAGTTTTTAATTTTGTTTTTCTTGTAAACCTCCAACAACAACTCATGAGCATCCAATTTCAATTGTTCCTTTTCTGGGCTAGCTAAGTTGTGACATTTCAGGGACATGAGTTTCATGAATAAAAAGGTGTTCATGCCATTGAGTACCAACTAATTTTCTGTGGCTAGTTTAATTGCTAATTAATGTGCAATTTCAGCAAATTTGTGATACTCCTGTTTGGATGACAGCAAAACATTTTTATTGGTGAAGAATGGAGTGGTATAAATCATCCAGCAATTTGTGGTGATGCAGACCTCATGGCACAAATTGCTCGATTCCATTATTAAACATCATTATTTTTCCAGAAAATTCTGGCCAGTTATCTGAGTTACCAGCAGATGGCACCAAACACCGCTTGTTAGTGTAAGGTAACAGAATTTGGCCACTGTCATTTTTTTGAAGAAATTGTAATTTCCTCTGCATTCTTTTTATACAGCTAATAAGTGTTGCAATATGTTAATATATCACTCTTTCTGCCTCTACCCCATTCCTCTTTATTTTGACCTCTTTCTTCAATTTTTTTATTCACTTGGACTCATGTCTGTCCCTAGTTGCCCTTGGGATGGTGATGGTGAGCGGTCTTCTGAACTGCTGAAGACCATTTGCTGTAGGTAGGCCCATAAGGCTGTTGAGGTGGGAATTCGAGGATTTTGACCAACGACTCCTCTAAATTGACCCTTTCTTGCAATTAAGATATTTTGACAAGACTGCTTTCCTTGCCAAAGTTATTTACCCGGCCCAGGCCCATTTCTCGGATAACTAACTGTCTGATAACTAACTAACCCTCCAATAAACATTTTGTCTCTTCTGCAGCAAAATGTGCAAACCCATATGTAAAAGCACTGTGCATGGTTCTGATTGCCATATTACGCAGGAGAAAATACAATTAAAATTTATAAGAATAAACCTAGCATTACTGAGTGTGTACAAATCAGGAAAGTCTGAACATCCTAGGGCTCTCAAACACACCCATCCTTGACTGCTGTGCCTTCACTTATTGAGGTTCCTCTACTCCTTAATATCATGTGTAAAACCCATGTCTTTGACTAATGACCTTGAGATTTCTTTTATATTACATCTTTAATATAAAATTCACATGGTTGTTCTAGGAGAAGTGAATCATTGTAACTGTTTAAAGTGTTGTTCATTGGGCATTCTTGTTTCTAGTTCTATTGGACCGAGGCAGCAAACTACGAAATGCGATGGTGGTTTCTGCTATGCAAACTGTTCCTGACAGTGTATCTGCATTGGTGGACATTCCTTATGTGGATCCGTATCAGGACGTTAGCAAGCCAATATCGAAGTAAGCTTGATTAGACTGTTTCAAGTATTGTTTTTGTGCCTTTTAAAAATTGTAATTATTACGAATTCAATCTGATAGCTAAACAAAAGAATTGTAGGAACCTTTTAAGAACTTTAGGAGTTATTGAAGTCAAAGGAAAAACAACATGATTTGACAATACAACAAGCTCATCCATCATGTTTTTGAAGTGTGGAATTTACAGTTGGTTTCACACTGTATCATAGGATCAAATAGATGCAATATGTAAGCATTGACTCATTTCTCCCCTGTCTGGATGGCATTAGCACTCTGGCACTTCAACCCAGTGGCTGTTATTCATGTTTCATTAGGACATTTAGTTTGAGATGTGTCGCAGCTAAACTGTGCCATCATTGTTTTTAAACTGTGCACCGTAATTGGAGTTATTACATGATGTCCAAGAGTGGTAAATTAGCTGGAACCAGGTGAAGCCAGAACTTCTAGGCAGGTAGATTTAATTTACATATCTGCTGAGAGTGCTAATCTCCATTAGGTCAGTGTATAATACTACAATATCAATATCCTGCATTAAGGAGGAAAACTACCTGCTCAGTTGCCTTTCTGTTATCACCAGAAAGGAACTCTTCTTGGATACAGAGACAGGCCCAGGATCAAATAATTTGTCAGCTTTTGCCCTCTAAACTTACTTGTGCAGCATAACTGTTTGGCCAACTAGTCAGAAAATTGCTGGCCTCCTTGGAAATTACGTAAAGAATTTATATGAACTGGATTTGAATAATTTTGAATGTGTTCCGAAAGCACTTTTAAATAGCAAAAGTCAGCACTGGCTGTTGAGAAAGGGACAAAAATGGGGGTGGAGTTTGAGAAAATAAACAACCAATACACTGAGAATGAATAATTGATAATGGGTCATAATTTGTCAAGGTGCATCTGAGACATGTACTCTTAGTTAGATTTCTTTTTAATTTACATGGCAAGTTACTGAAAATGCAAGGTGATAATCTCTCTGAGGGAAACTGGGCTGTAGGACTTGAGTGAGCAGGGCAAGAAATAGTTCATTCCCTTAAACAACCAGTGTAAAACATTGCAAAATCAACTGCACAAATTAGGTGAATGGATTGCCAGATTATGCACAGAAATAGAGTAGAAGAATAGAATGGAATATTCTTTATTATCACGCGTACTTAAGTACGGAAGTACAGGAGTAAGTGAAAAGTTTACAATGTCGCCCCATTTCATGCCACCAGTGAAAGAAAACAAATTGGATTAGGAAAGCTAGAAAAACAGAGACAGAAAGGAAAAATAACTTATTTAAAAATTGTATATTACAACAACTAAAACTTGAAGGAACGAGTCTGTACATTTATGATATTTATTTTCAGGGCCAGAGAGGTTAACTGTAAGAATGTATTACAGCATAAATAAGGATACTTAGACTAAAATGGATGAGTCTTTATTCATTTTTACTACGTGAGTGCAGCGCTTCACAGAATTCAAACCATTTCAGTGTTGAGGCAGGCAATGAGATTTTTTCATAAAATTAATGCTGAAGCACTACAGTTCAAACAGCCGTTTATGGAGTTTTAAATTTTAACTACCCTTACTTAAAATTGTGAGACAGTTTGTACAAAGAGAACAGTATCAACTTAGTGATAGCAAGAACTGCAGATGCTGGAGTCAGAGACAACACAGTATGGAGCTGGAGGAACACAGCAGGCCAGGCAGAATCAGAGGAGCAGGAAAGTTGACATTTCAGGCTCAATTTTAATTGTATTTTTGAATTTAAACAATAGAGATTTTAAAAAATGGACTTTAGAAAAGGAGAATTACCATATGCTGGAATGTACAACAGGTCTATCGGTTTGATAGAAACAATGGGTTAAAATTGTCATGTGAGATCTGTACTTCATGTATTCTCTTTGCAACTGCTAATAGACCTGTCCTTAAATGTCTATTTAAACTGAATATACTGCAGATCAGTGCAAACATAAGAATGAAACAACAGGTATGTTAACTGATGTGCAATCTAGTCTATAATGAAAGATAGATGAAAATTGAGATGATTTCTTATTGTGTCTTTTAAAATAAAATCCAAATCCGATTACGCTAAATTCAATTATCTGTTTATAGCATGTGAGACCTCAGTAGGCAGTTACACATCCAGGCAGACAGGGAAGAGGAATGGTGCCATAGTGCATATTTAGCAGTTATTCCACTGCACTATGAATCATTTGCTTTCATCCAGTTTTGAATGGGATTGTACATGCTAAATTTCAATAAATTTGAATCTTCTGCTTGTAACTTTCTTAGACACCACGTTTATTCTATCTTTAATTTGATGTTTATTCTGTTTCATTAGTTTTGAATAGAACATTATGAATATTGAAAAAAATGCCGGTAGAAAGCAATATCACAATGCAAATTGTTTAAAGTGAAGTTGAGATTACAGAACTGTTCAATGGTTGGTGATACTAAGATGCAATGTGTTACTGATTTATTGTCCAAGGTCAACTGCAGATGATAACTCAAAAAACAATCTGTAATTGCATCATAATTATTAATCCTGGTTTAGCCGTGACCTTGTGTAAGAACTGCATTGAAGTATCTTGAATATCTCTCATGATACCTACCACAGCTTAAAGAAGAGCCAGTTTAACCTGAAATCAAACCCCTTATCAAAACTTGGGGTGATACACTGAGCTGTAAAGTTACCTGGTGTTTAGATGCCAGTTACAAGCTGCTCAACTTTACTCTTGCAATTTATGATATTATTTGAATCCTCAATGAGATTACCACTGTATATTCTTTACTATCTCTTTGTAATCAACTTCCTACATTTTGGTTTATAAAAAAACTGGAAATCATAAAAACGAATTATTTCCATTCCAGAACATCGCAGAAATATCAAAACCAACTTATTTTAATGGGCTACTTTTTTGTTCCAATCTGAAGTTGCCAACTTATTTAGAGAAGAATCTACCCAGACAGCAAACTGATGTGCTAAATTTATGTATTGATGGACCTGTCAATTGTTTTTTATTTGTGAATTGTTCACTCAGGCACATAGTATTGCTATGGACATATTCTCCTAATTAATTTCTAACTTTTAGTCATTCTATTTTATGTTTAAAAACTTTTGGAATTACATATTTATGCATTGGTAATAATATAGTTTCTGCTACAATAAATAATAATTTTATCAATTCTTTCCCTTCATCATCCCTTTGTCAGAAAAGCGTCTCCTTCAGGAAAATTGCTTGACAACTTACCAGTATCTGAAGCTACTTCCATAACCAAAGCTTCTTTATTGCCTTCCCCTGAGCACCCATTAAAAGAAGTCCATCCAAACACAGACGCCACAGCTATCAAGTTACTCCTCGGGAGGTAAATTCAGGGAGTGCTTTCCGTTTTAATTTGCTTTGTATTTCACATGTTCCTTGGTTTCCGTCAGCCAGCATAGTATGTGTAGTGCTGGCGGAAGGGCTTATCTGTTGAAGACCTGTTCATTGGACCTGTTCAGTATGTCACATATTACTGATTTGAACTGGGCCTAAGTAGAGATGAAACTCAGACATTCAATTTGGTATTTGATATTGGTCAGAATTAGCAAGTCAGTGCAGTTGTTGAGGGGTGAAACAATTTCACCAAGATGTGAGAAAGAACTTAATGAGTCTCTTGGGAACAAGTTGGCAGGTGACCTGGGGAGTAAAATTGAAGACAACAGTAGTGATATGCTTGTTGTCTTACTGACGCCATTTGATCAGTGGCAGGGATGATGGGAGTTGGCATCCTCTCACAGAGGCCAATTGAGACCCTGACTTGGGCCACTTGAGGGCCTATTCCTCACCTCTGGTGTCCTAAGAAGAATGCCCTGTTGGTAGCCACTCCCATAACCTCAGTCCCAGATACATTGCTGGTGCTGAAGAGCTGTGAGCTGGCAGCTTTAGGAGGCAGTTTTTCTCCCCATGTTCCAATGGCAGGCTCGAGAGCAGGTCAATAGCTTCGGAATCCAGCCAATGCTCCCCAAAAGAGCCCTGATATCCCTTGCATTTCAGTCCATCAGGGCTAATTCTATTGGTAACATTAAATGGAAACAAGATACACAGAGAATTGTGAGGGCCACAGTTAAAAATGAAGAGTTAAGTGCGATTATGGAAAACGTAAGAGATGTCAGTTGGTTTTGGAGAGCATGTGCATGTGAATGGACAATGTGTTGTTAATATGATTGGTAAGCTACAGCTGCAAATCATAACCATGTTCAAATATGATGTAGTATAAATAACTGAAACTTGCCTCATAAAATGGTAGGATTAGATGCTTTATATTCTGGGTACAAGATATTCATGAAAGAAAAAGAGGAGTAGTAGTTCTAGTGAAGTAAAATGTTGAAGTGCTAGGAAAAGAAAATGCCTTTGAGGAGTTAAAGACAGATTCTACTTGGAGATAAGAAACAATAAAGTGATGTCAACACAAGGGAAGTGGCTCACTCTTGAGTAGCCTGAGAGTATTTATTTAAGCATTAAATATTGGGCGGAGAAATGGCAGATGGAGTTCAATCCAGGCAAATGCGAGGTGATGCATTTTGGAAGATTCAATTCAAGAGCAAACTATACGGTAAATGGAAAAGCCCTGGGGAAAATTGATGCACAGAGAGATCTGGGCGTTCAGGTCCATTGTACCCTGAAGGTGGCAACGCAGGTCGATAGAGTGGTCAAGAAGGCATACAGCATGCTTTTATTCATCGGACGGAGTATTGGGTACAAGAATTGGCAGGTCATGTTGCAGGTGTATAGGACTTTGGTTCGACCACATTTGGAATACTGCGTACAGTTCTGGTCACCACGTTACCAAAAGGTGTGGATGCTTTGGAGAGGGTGCAGAGGAGGTTCACCAGGATGTTGCCTGGTATGGAGGGCGCTAGCTATGAAGAGAGGTTGAGTAGATTAGGATTATTTACATTAGAAAGACGGAGGTTGAAGGGGGACCTGATTGAGGTCTACAAAATCATGAGAGGTATAGACAGGGTGGATAGCAAGAAGCTTTTTCCCAGAGTGGGGGACTCAATTACTGGGGGTCACAATTTCAAGTTGAGAGGGGAAAAGTTTAAGGGAGATATGCGTGGAAAGTTCTTTATGCAGAGGCTGGTGGGTGCCTGGAACGCGATGCCAGTGGAGGTAGGTAGAGGCGGGCACGATAGCGTCATTTAAGATGTATCTAGACAGACACATGAATGGGCAGGGAGCAGAGGGATACAGATCCTTGGAAAATAGGAGACAGGTTTAGACAGAGGATCTGGATCGGCGCAGGCTTGGAGGGCAGAAGGGCCTGCTCTTGTGCTGTAATTTTCTTTGTGTGTTCTTTGTTTGTTTAGGGAAAAGCTTCTAATGATTTTCACTTAGCACAGTGATGAAGGTATAGTACTGTAGTGAGTGACCTCTTGTCAAATGTTAAGTCGGACAAACTTTTTGATGGACAGAGTCTAGAGTTATGGGGACAGACAGGAAAGTGAAGATAAGGCCACAATCATATCAACTATTATGTAGTTCAATGGCAGAGTCTTGGTGGCTAAACGGTCTGAAGGGAAGCGATGGCCTAGTGGTATTATCACTGGACTTTTAATCTAGGGACCCAGATTCGAATCCCGCCATGGTGGAATTTGAATTCGATAAATATCTAGAATTAAGAACCTAATGATGACTGTGAATCCATTGTTAACTGTTGGAAAAACCCATCTGGGTCACAAATGTCCTTTAGGGAAGGCAACTGCCATCCTTACCTGGTCTGGCTTGCACGTGACTCCAGACCCACAGCAATGTGGTTAACTCTTAACTGCTCTCTGGGCAATTAGGGATGGGCAATAAATGCTGCCTAGCCAGCGATGCCCTCTGCCTGTGAATGAATAAAGAAAATAAACCTTCCCTTATTTCTTAGAATCTTTTTCATCTGTATACAGATTTTGTATTAATGCAGGATCCTGTTGAGACCCAGCTTAGCCAAGGGGATTGAGGGGGATTGGGGGCAGGCAGAAAAGTGGAATTAGCTATAATCTTATTGGATCATGGGGCAAGCTTGAAGGGCGGTTTCACCCACTCTCCCTATATCATATAATTTATGGTTATAACCCTTTTTGCAACATTTTTAATTCTACATCCAGGTTTCTCTTGCATTTCTATGTAATTTTTGTTACTGGAATGTTTTTCAACATAAAAGACCAAAGTCCTGTTTATCGTTCATCTACAATGTATTAATTTTATTTTTAAAATTTAGTTTTAATTTCTTTTTGCCTACAGCACTGACTCTATCCCTCTTCATTACTGGGATGGCCTGGGCTCTCCTCCAGAGTCTCTATCTGCAGGAAACAGTGTTTTAGATGAAAGTGAACTGAATGATCCTCATTATGATCAGAGCCTGTTGGAACATCTCTTCTACAAGAATTCTGTGAGTCATGAGAGGGCACAGATCCCAGGAATTATTGCATGCTGGCGCTAGTATATTATTTAACTGTGGTGAATAATAACCATGGATGAATTTGTATTTTGTGCTGTAATGAGAAACGGTTTCTGTTAATGACCAAGTTTGAAGGGTGGACTAATTTCTTTGCTTCTACTCTTTCACTGGCTATAACTAAATATATAGCTCAGTATCAGAAACAAGTCAACCAAGTCCCTTTAACAAATAATGAACAAAGTTTCCTTAATAAAAGTTTTAAACTGTGTAAATGTATCCAGCTACCCGTCTCAAATAATAATACATGTACCTCCCTCTAATCCTGGAAAAAAAAAGACAGTAGAGTGTTATCTTAAAAAAGCCCTTTGGCCAAATAACTGTTAAATTTAGGGAAAAGGAATTTTGCAGATTTAAGGGTTGTGCAAAGATTTGTAGCTTGGGTTGTGGGTGAGGTTGTTGACTTGCTCGCCGAGCTGGCTTGTTTTTGTTCAGACGTTTCATCACCATGCTAGGTAACACCATCAGTGAGGCCTCCGATGAAGTGATGTTGTTCTACTCCCCTTGGAATTTATACTGTACGGTCTATTATGGTGAGTAGTGTCATTTCCAGTTTTGTTCTGTATGGTTTTTGTATATGGGTTCCAATTCTATATGTTTGTTGATTGCATTATGGCTTGAGAACCATGCCTCAAGGAATTCCCGTGCTTGTCTATGTTTGGCCTGGGCTACGACGGTTAAGTTGCCCCAGTTAAACTGATGTCCTTCATTGTCCGAGTGTACTGATATTAGGGAAAGCTCGTTGTATTGTTTTGATGCTAGCTGTTGTTCGTGTATTCTGATGGCTAGTTTCCTTCCTGTCTGTACGGACAGAACAAAACCGGAAATGACACAACTCACCGTAACAGTCTGGACAGTATAAATTCCAAGCGGAGTAGAACAACATCGCTTCATCGGAGGCCTCACTGATGATGTTACCTAGCATGGTGATGAAACGTCTGAACGAAAACAAGCCAGCTCGGGTAGGAAGTCAACAACCTTGCCCACAACCCAAGCTACAAATTTTTGCAAAAACCTTAAAATACCTATGGGCGCATCATGCTAAAATTTGCCCGACAATGGGAAACCTTCACCAACCGACTGAGCACTACCCGCAAACAACTTCACTTTCTCCACGAATGCCTCAGCAGCCAGGTACAAACCTCCACTCAACAACCCACATGCATACAGAATAGCTGAACAGAATGGATGCAAAATGCTACGAGTAATCATTAATGATAACCATGACAGACTCTACAGGTACGAATGGGAAATTTCGTGCCAAAAATCACAGTACCTAAACACTACGGGCCAGCAATGGACTGCAACCCTAGAACAGCCATCACCATCAAACAACACAGGACCAAAACAAAGAAGAGACACAAACTACAGGAAAAACTTACCAAACTGATCCACCTCAATGAGAAGGACAACAACAAACCAGGCACGTGGATAAGAAACCTATCCAGCAGACGACTCACAGAAACTGAGAAAGCTGCCCTATTACGTAGATTGAACTATAACCACAAAGATGCGAACAGAACAGACTTCACGGTCACCCTGGAAACTATATTAAAAGACAAAATATTCACGGACGAAACGCAACAAGCCATCTGACAAACTATTAGCCCCACACTAGGCCGAAGGAACAAATGTGACATCCTGAACATGTCAGAGAGAAAAGCTGTAGAAAAACTCAGGAAAGATAAGAACATTATAATCCTACCAGCGGACAAAGGGTGCGTGACTATCATTATGAACAGACCAGACTATTTTGAGAAAGCACACACACTGCTCACAGATACAAACACTTACCAACGGTGGCAATAGACCCAACACTGCAGCCAGGTAATAGAATCACCCAGACACTGAAGAGACTAAAGGATGCCGGACAGATAACCAAGACGGACTACATAAGAATGGAAACCAGAAGGCACAAACACCCCCCCACTTCTGTGGACTTCCTAAAATACACAAACCAGACATCCCTCTTGGACCCATTGTCTCCCTACCAGGCACACCTTCACACAAACTGGCCAAGGACCTGCAACAGAGACTTGGAAATGACATAACTCACCATAACAGACCAGACAGTATAAATTTCAAGCGGAGTAGAACAACATCACTTCATCGGAGGCCTCACTGATGATGTTACCCAGCATGGTGACGAAACTTCTGAATGAAAACAAGCCAGCTCGGTGAGCAAGTCAACAACCTTATTATTGCAGATAGCCCATATACTTGTCTATAGATGAAGTGACTTTCTACATTAGTTCTTGACACTGGGCTTGTTTTCTGGATTGGTTATGTAGTTTGAACTTTCTTTTCTGGAGACAGTGATGTAGATTCACGCTTCTTTAAGTACTCTCTACTTGTATAAATGAATGTTTCCAGTGTGCTTTTAATTCTCAACTGTAGAGATGGGTTTTAAAGAAAAAGAGAGAGGACAAAGACTGTTATCCCTGTGGCAAGTTCTCTCTGTCTGTTTCAAAACTTTTTTTGTACTCCTAAATTAAGTCATGTGACTTATCTGAATGCACTGCAGACATTGTCTTCATTCAAGCAACTTGCTGTTTGAAATGCAAAATTGTTGCTGCTGCAGCCAGTGTCTTTTGCTTAAATAAGTGTTCTTTCCAAAATGTTCAAGATATACACTTTCAGTTGAAGATTTTATGAATTAATATTTTTCTCATAATATCTATGAAATTTCAAAACAGCTAGTTTCCATCTTTTTAGAATTCCTAGAGTGTGGAAAGAGGCCATTCTGCCCATCAAACCCACACTGACCTTCTGAAGAGCATCCCACCCAGAACTGCCAAAACTACCAGTTCTGAGGAAGGGTCACCCAACCCGAAACGTTAACTCTGATTTTTTCTTCACAGATGCTGCCAGACCAGCTGAGCTTTTCTAGCAACTTCTGTTTTTGTATCGGCCAATACTGCACAGTTCCACTTTCCAGCACTGGCCTGTAGCAATGAATACAGTGGTAACATTTCAAATACTCATTCAAATGGTTTTTAAAGATTGTGAGATTACCCACCTCAACTACCCTCGCAGGCAGTGCATTCCAGGTCCCAACCACCCTCTGGGTGAAAGAGATTTTCCTCAAATCTCTTCCTAAATCTCCTGTCTTCAACCTTAAAATTGTGTTGCCTCATTATTGACATTTCAACTAAGGGGAACATTTTTATTAATTCACAGGATGTGGGCGTTATTGTCTAGGGCAACATTTACCACACATACATAATTGCCCAGCAGGCAGTTAAGTGTCAACCACATTGCTGTGGATCTGGAGTCATGAGCCAAACCAAGTAAGGATGGCAATTTCCTTCCCTAGAGGACATTAGTGAACCAGATGGATTTTTCCTGACAATTGACAATCGTTTCACGGTCATCATTAGACTGCTAATTCTAGATATTTATTGAATTCAAATTCTGCCTCTGCCATGACAGAATTCGAATCCGGGTCTCCAAAATATTACCTGGTCCTCTTAATAAATAGTCTAACGATAATACCACTAGACTGTTACTTCCCTTTCCTTTCTATCCATTCTGTCCATGTCCCTCATAATAAGATATGCCTCAATCTGGTCCCTTCTCAGCCTGAGATTATTAATAATCCTGAGATTACTACCTTCGAGGTTCTGCTTCCTAATTTGCTACCTACCTTCTTGGACTGACTATGTGGAATCTCCTCCTTTGTCCTGCCTATGTCATTCGTACCAATATGGGCCACAATATCTGGATCCTCCCACTCCCACTCTCACTGCAAGCCCTTTCCAATCCTGAGAAAATGTAAGGAAATCTGGCACCAGGCAGGCAACCTAGCTGTCTAGGCACTCACTCTTTGTTGCAGAGAACAGTATTAATTGCCTTCACTGTACTGACCTTTGCTATAACACATTACTTTTTACTTGCCCTTCCTGAACAGCATCCTGTACCATAAGGCCGTAGTCAGTTTGCTCGTCCAGTCTGCAGCCCTGACTATCATCTGGTCAATCTGAAGGTACCTCAGAACTGTTGGGCAATTACAAAGGAAAGACACCTGTCCTCTGGGTTCCCTTACCTCCCACACTTCCAGTCATACTGTCCTGTCCCTGAACACTGACCAAAGCTGATGATATGACACAACCTTCAAATGTATGACTGCCACCTGATACAAAGGAACCTCGTAACAGTCCCTTTTTCCTGATGCATTGCAGCATCTGTAGGTCAGCTTCCAGCTCAGACTATAAGCAGAAGTTGTTTGAACTTCAAACACGCTGCAGACAATACATGTCGATTTATCTGGATGAGACTCTGCTCCCTGAAATGTATTAGTATTCCAGTTAGCATTTACAACAGATCAGTTACACCTACACAAAGAAAAACAACTTAAAAATCTCATTATCTTGCCCAATATTGATCTTGTAAAAACATATAGAAATAAATAAATCCTCTTAAACCATGAGGCTAGTAACAATCTATTTCCAAAGAAAGAGTATGAAACTGAATAAGCAAGGGTACACGTTCATCTATCTTTCCACCCACATCCTCCTTCACAGCAAACCAGAAAATTACAGAAGCAAATTATTTCTGAATAATAGCCTTTGTTATCTTCTGATAGAGCTATGTAGCCAAGTGGAAACATTAATTTTCCAATAACTATGGGGCAACCAACTTCCATTTAGCAACATCACACCACACCAATAGCTCAAAATGCCACATCAGACCTCTGCGCTGCTAATCCCTAGTGCTTGTGTGATGCATAATATTAAGAAACAGATGACAATAGGAAAATGCACATGTTTCTGTTTACTCTAATTGGGCACCTGGGCACTTGCTGACTGTATATTTCTATAGGTTTCTTAGGTTTTATAAAACCTAACGTTCCCACATGTCTTTCAACTACTCAACCTACCCCTTTGCGTTCAATGTTTATTGCATGTATATTTCCAATTCTTTCTGCAGTTACACCCCGCTTTAGGGAGGTGTTGGATGTATCTCCATGTATGCTGCCAGTTGAAGATTTCCTGCTGGTTTCAAAAAAACAGATCACATCAATGTTGTATATGTGACTCCAGACCCCCAGCAATGCGGTTGACTCTTAACTACCCTCTGGGTAATTAGGGATGGGCAAAAAATGCTAGCATAGCCAAGAACACGTGTATCCCATGAACAAATATTTTTTAAAAATCTGGCTGCTGGGAATGGAGTTGATCTGTAGCATCAAACTTTAATTAGAATATATGCATAGAGTTGTTGGATGTTGATGTACATGATATTTGATTGCGTTATTTTCATGTCACAATGTTAAAAAATGCAGCCATCAAAGTTATTGGAACCCTGGTTTGTTTTGATGCGACTAACCATGTGCAGTTTATAAATATTTTTAAAAGAATTTGATTCATTCTGAAGTCTGCCACCTGCAGCACGGTATGTAATGCACTGCACCACTGAAATTAACCCAAGCTCCTAAGCTGAACATTGTTGTTACCTGCTTTGTCCAAAATAATGTTGAGTAAAATTAACCTAGTATTCAATATTGGTGAAAATTATTTTGTTCCCAGTATTCTCTAATTTGTCCTACAATAATACTGTAAAATGGATGTAACTACGCCTCCCCCTTCATCCCCATCCCAGGCCCTAAGAAGACCTTCCACGTCAAACAGATGTTCACCTGCACATCTGCTAATGTGGTATACTGTATCCGCTGTTCCCGTTGTGGCCTCCTCTACATCGGGGAAACCACGCGGAGGCTTGGAGACCGCTTTGTGGAACATTTACGCTTGGTTCGCACCAAACAACTGCACCTCCCAGTCGTGAACCATTTCAACTCCCCCTCCCACTTCTTGGACGACGTGTCCATCCTGGGCCTCCTGCAGTGCCACAACGATGCCACCCGAAGATTGCAGGAACAGCATCTCATATTTCGCTTGGGAACCCTGCAGCCCAATGGTATCAATGTGGACTTCACAAGCTTCAAAATCTCCCCTCCCCCGACCGCATCCCAAAACCAGCCCAGCTCGTACCTGCCTCCCTAACCTGTCCTCCCACCTATCCCCTCGTCCCACCTCAAGCCCCACCCCCATCTCCTACCTACTAGCCTCATCCCGCCTCCTTGACCTGTCCATCCTCCCTGGACCGACCTATCCCCTCCCTAACCCCCCACCTACACTCACCTTTACTGGCTCCAACCACGCCTCCTTGACCTGTCTGTCTCCTCTCCACTATCTTCTCCTCTATCCATCTTCTATCCGCCTCCCCCTCGCTCCCTATTTATTTCAGAATCCCCTTCCCCTCCCCCATTTCTGAAGAAGGGTCTAGACCCGAAACGTCAGCTTTCCTGCTCCTCTGATGCTGCTTGGCCTGCTGTGTTCATCCAGCTCTACACCTTGTTGTCTCAGATTCTCCAGCATCGGCAGTTCCTACTATCTCTGTAATTTTTAATTTGCATTTTTATGCACCTGGTGTGGCTGAATTTAGCTGTCAAATGAAATTCAGGACAGTATTACAGTGGTAACTGTCCTTCAAACTGATTAGATTTTTTTGTTCTTTTGGTATAGAAATCTGAAAGTAGTGCTAGTGACTTTACTAGTGAAGATGAGGAGTTGGACCTCTCAAAGGAAAAACTGAAACAGCAGTCTCTTTGCAAAGCTGATATGCATAATCAGCACAGTCTATCCCATAATGCTTCAGATCACAATGTTACTAATTTGAATCAAAATGGGGAAGGACAGAGTACCAGGTAAAACACTATTTAACACCATACTTAATGACAGTAAATAAAGCAATGTATACATATTTGCTGAGCAGAAACCAGTTAGTTTAATAAGGTACTTATGTGTAAATATTCTCAAAGTGAAGCTGCCAAATATGTTTGAATTGATGACTGGAATTGCATTTTGCTTTTACTTATATGGCCCTGAGTGCAGTGTTTAAAAAAAAACTAGTATGCATTTCTGTTTATTTTGCTTAACAACTACCACACAGCAATGCTATGTAGGCTCCTTTCTTTCTTATTTGGAAATTTGTCTCTGATTCTTAACCATCCCTTATCATTAGCATTATTTTTTTTTAATTCGGTAAAATTAATTCTCTTATCCAAGTTCTGCCATTGCAAAGCAACTGGATAGATATTTGGAAACAAACTGTCTTATAAAAATGTGTAAAAGATAAGGAAATGGAAAAGGTTTAGTAGAAAAGCTAGAAATGTTGCAAATGTAATGTGCTGAATGGCTGTAGTATTGAATTTTTTTATATTTCAATGGAATATTTTGGTAATGGTGTAGAAGAGGTATCTCCATTTGTTAGTATAAAAATGGTTTCTTTGAACTGTCTTGTATTCCAAGCTGAATGTATCAAAGTAACCGATGCTGGCTGGCTAAGATGGCCCAGGAGGACCTTTGTAGATGCCAGGATGACAGGACTATGATAACTTTGAGGCAGGACGCCTAGCACTAGACTTTCTGTTAATTGTGATTCCGGTAGCTGTAGCACAGTGAGTACTCATGCACACAGGCTCATGAGCTTTGCAATATTGTGGGCCTCTCCTCTGTTGAAGAGAAGCTTGATTAGGGAGCATGTAGCCTGGAAAAGGCTCCCCAGATCTGTGACATTCTACCTAACGTCACTGTAACATTCGCGCTCTCCCAACAGGACTGTGAGTGCAAAGGATGTTACAATCCTACATTGTACCATTGCAATAGCTATACCTCCTCAGTACATGAGCTTCCACAAATGCTGACACTTCTCGCTTTTCTCTAAGGAATGGTCAGAGCCACCTCTCAGGCGTACATTACCTGCAATAGATATTGAGAATGCCGAGCCTGGCAATGCAAGCCCTACCCAGGGGAAAGACTTTTTGGCTCCCGCACCCTCTAGATGCCAGACCCTTCTCTGTATCACTTCCATGAATTGACAGTGTAGGGCCCACTATGTGGATATCCTAGGTTCAATATCCTGCAGTTGAAGCAATGGGACAATGTTTGTGTTCTTGAATGCTAACTTGAGCTTTAGGTGCACTGCCCAAAT